AACGATGATATTGGTGAGTGTGAAAGCATCCATTACGTACAATCCCACCAGGATGTTGTACATGTACTGCGGTAGGGCCTCGACCCATTTCTCATCTCTGTAGACTATATCCAATATACACACGACGAGCACCAGGAGAATGGAACTAGCGCATAACCGCAAATTGTGTCGCCAATCCGAGAACTTCAAACTGACCGCTCTACTGCAGTAGGTGTAATACCCGAGACATAGTGTTTCAAAAATCAATAAAGCTAGGGTACATGCTAGCGATGTCAATACGTAGGCAGTCGCCGTAATTCTCATGACGACGATGAAGGCGACCGTTGCTATGGTAGCGGTGATGATCCAAGGAATCTGACGGGTATAGGTAGAGAGAGAAAACTTTATTAGACGTCAAATATCTTGATATCAATGATCTACGGACTTGATCGTATAAAGTCGCTGGAATACATTTGAGATGTGCTGCAATACTAAAATGCAGTACTAGTATGATAGATACCTGGAACATAGCATGCAGGACATACTATAGTATCGTGTATGTCAATTGAGTGGTAACACTCAACAGCGTGGTTTCTCCTCGGTATATGAATAGTACCGCTAGTCATAAGTATGAGAAGTGCACACACTGCTTCACCACTATATCGTTTAAACAACCTCATTACAGAAATAAGCTGAATGCTACTACCCACAATTTCGAAAGACATTCTCACGAATGAGCAAAAAAAAGCACTCACAACCAAGCGTACCTGCATCAACAAAGCTGTCTTCAAGTACTCATTTGCTTTTAGTGTTTGACAATCGTTTCTGAATATTAGATATATTATACGTTGCCTGGCCGTGATAGCGATGAACAAGTTAGCAAGTGTCATTGATCCCAGTATATGCGCAATCTCGAACCCGCCCCCGGCATCACCTACGTGTAGGTTGAAGCGACAAATGAACATGAAAGTGAGTGAAAGCGGAGAATGAAAGAGCAAGTTGAGGATGTAAAACTTCAAGCTTACAAGCCATAATAATGTTTAATGAAAGCTGCGTTTGCTGTAAACGCTATAATATCTGTTCCAAGCTTTCATTTTTGGGGCGAGTGGAGATGAAATACGAGCAACAGGCCACAAGCCAAATTACAGCCAGGTGACACTGTCTGTTGCACTAAATTGACCCCATACTCTTTACTTTGGCATGGCTTGAACGCAGACACATACGATGTAAACCAAATACAAAGTTAGATACATACAAGATGGATTTGGGTTATGTGGTTCCGCCTCAGATACGATTTTCATATATTTACGTGGATGCGTGTAGCTATTAAATGCACTGATGCTCAATTCATATGTATATATATACATATATATTTGATGTGCGATTCGTGTGTACTATCAAGTATTCCCTATTTGATAATGATGCTCCACAATGCTTCCAAATGTATCGCATATTTTCCTATTCTTATAGTTGTATATATGCAGACAGACGAATAGATGTAACAAGTGAAGTGGAGATGTGGTTTTGTGTTTATGCCTAGTGTCGGTAAATAACATGCCAATGGTAGGATTGGATTGTACACCTACCGAATGCCAAGTACGCATTAAAGTCGGAAGGAACAAACGCGGCTTTTGCACCGCTTGCAATTTAAACGTACATCGAGAAAGGCAAACTTAATCACTTGTTTTCTATCACTTGGGTACGGATACATGCAACACAAATACATGTCAGATCCATATCCTCCACTCGAAAACTCGATAACACAGGACAAGAAAACACGCCAGAACTCTATCATGTGCATACAACGAAACTTCAACGCAAATTCATCTAATGGTAGATCAAGTACTTTCGCACAATATACACACACACACAATATATTTACATAAGCTGTGGGCTATATTAGTTTTATTTATGTGCGAGTGGGAGATACTTGCGAAAAGCGAATATCTCGAGCAGGGTGAATGCAAACCCGAAACCAAACGTGTGCATTGTTCGCGTGTGCATACACCGTGTATGCCGTATGACGGCACGCTATTCAGGTGAATGATTCATATTCACCGCAATACGTAATACGGATGTATAAATAAGCGAGATATGCCCTTCTATATGCAAATAGGTGAACACTGTATATTCTGAATAAAAATATACGATTTTCACATATATATCAGTTAAGCACACATATTTAAAAAATATAGACATGCGACTAAGCAAAAGCACGATTCCATAGATTAGTGTGTTTTGTGATTGTTTAACGCTCACTATAAACGAATACATTCACAGGTTTTACCATATTAGATGGATATATACCATCAATATAGGTATTTTATAGCGACTCTATATTATATTTTGTATAGTCTTGAACCTGGTACTCTTAATATACCACTGATATGTATTATATGAATGTACACACACCGACACGCGCGACGATATACACATAACATACATGCATACGTGTTACAGATATATATATATATATATATATATATATATATATATATATATTATTTATTATTATATATTA